GTTTGTCTGAAAGGAACTGACGTCCGGCATTTGTGGTAGGGCTAGCATAGGATCGTTCCTATGAGTTGTTGTTGTTGTACATGCTCCCAAGTTGGTTGACCATTTCGAAATTCTTTTTGCAGTTTGAGTTAATAATTTGACTACTTCTCCGGTTGAATTTTCCTTCATTTGCGGTTGAATATGTGTCCAGACAAGGGGCATACCATTTTTCACGATGTTGACGAATGAGTCTCTGATATAGTCGCTATCTCTATCCCTTTTCGAAAGTTGATAGAATGTTGTGCGAAGTCGTGAGGCAATCTTCGTTATGTCCTCGCCTTCATGGGTCGTTAAACGAGTAAAAATAGTTCGAGGGCTGTGTAGCGCGTCGAGCTTTTGCATTGTAGTAAATATTGCCTCAAGAAGCATCATCCATGTGACCGATGGATTTTCTTCTACCCAAACTCGGACACAATAAAAATCTTCGCTCATTTCCATGCTAATTCGTTGAGGTCAGTACTAATATGGCACGAGGGTGATCCGGAAAGCCGATTGAATTTTTGCGAGTTTGATGAATATAGTCGAGTCTGCAGTTGCCAGGCGAAGTTCCGGTCGAAGAGAAACTTTTTTTTTGATGCTGGCAAATTCATCGTGCATAACATCTTTAGCGAGAAGAGCCTGTGGCCACGCCTCCTTGACGAACCTTTCTCTGGGAGACAGTTCGCTGGAATTATCTTTTTCTGTTGAGGAAAAGTAGATGCGTCCGTTTGATCGTCGTTTTATATCGTCTTCTTTCCTTAGTTGAAATTTTGTCGAGAAAGGTGTCGAAAACGTTTCAGCTGCGGGCGGCGAATCTGGGTTCGTGACCCGAAGTTCCGGGATGCCGACAGCAGGATTTTCTGATTTTTTTTCGATGTCTGCTTTTCTCTTTCCTTTGAGATACATCGATATATCCGTCATCAGGAATTCTAGGTTGTTTATCCTTTCGTTCAATTTTTTGTATGGGCGCTGTTTTTTTCTTGCGCTTTTGCTATGTGATTGATAGCTCCTTCGGACTGAGCATTTATCCTTAAATCTGTTAGCTCCTACTTCGCATTTGTTTCCTCCATAAATTCGCGAAGAATTTTATAGACGCTACGGATCGTTATGTTTGATGACCTTTGGGTTTCCGTGTCAGACATTTTGACTTGACTGAGATGATCTTCACAAAAATTTATTTTTGAGATTTCTTGCGTGCTCTAGATTTTTGTTGGAAACTGGGTGTGTGGTTATCTCAAAGGGTTGGATGGTACAGTGGTTACGCGGTGCCTCGTGGCTCCTGACTATAACTTGAATGTGGTAGAGCTTGAGACTAGATTGCGTGTCCCTTCAACGAGATCTATGCTACGATTTAAGTACAATCCTAAACCCCTCGCCACCTTTTACACACCGTGCGCCATCCCTAAATACTATTTGCCTCTTTACTACGCACTGATAGTTGCTCTCGTTCCCTGGCATTTGACTCCGTCTTACTTGTCTTAGCGTAGGCCTGAACTTGCCTCTGGCTTACTTAGACGATCAGGATTCTTGGGATCCACACCTATAGCCCTAAACAGCCCAGCCATAACCGACCGGGCCTAGCCCGTAACACTTGGAATAAATACCAACATCACTGTTGAGCTCACCCATCTCGGACGAAGCATACTCGGATATCTGCTAACTGCAAGATCTGGACACGGCGACTTTGCGGAGTACCATAGACATTTTCAGCACGAAAACGCCATTCTAACCTGTTCGTGTGGACAGGAGAAATCCCCCGATCACTTCTTCTGCCAAATTGGGCACTACCAGAATTGGCAAAAGGGGACCCTAAGCTTTATTCCCAACATATTTTGGGCTCTGACTTCATTAGATGGACTGCACGCCTTTTATAGCTGGGCGCATACCACAGGTTTCTTCATAGAGGAAAAACAGCAAGTCTGACTAGACTTGAACCACTGAACAGAAGGCTTGAGAGCCTTAGATTGATATAGATACAGTCTCTTTTTCATTCTTTTTAATGTTTTTCTCTAATACCATCTGTAAATTATGAAGTCAGGCAAGAGGCTGACATTCATATACATATGAATCTTCGAGTGCAGGATGATTAGATCCTGGCCTTCTATTGCTACGTAAAGCCTCTGTAGACGTCAGCACGTTGGGTAGTTTTATTTAGAATGGTGTAACCGGCACGTGAAGAGCTCATGTGCTGTGCGCGAGCACGACGTTAGTTAATATAAATTGAAAAAATGAACTATCTAGAGACAAACATATTTACTGCTGAACAAACAGGCAGCACAAAAATGATCTTCAAAGATACACCCTTAAATATCCACCGTAACCTATCCAGGGCCCAAAGCAATATCGTCATTCAGGTATGAAGCGAGCATACCGGGCTCATTTCTTACCTGTGCAGAAGAAAATTGCCTGGAGTAGAAAAGCAAAGCTATCAATGTGAATATCTGTCACAAAACGTCAAGCACATGGTGTTGGTGTGTCCACAGTAGGGAAGTGGAAGAGGTAACTTTCTCCAATAAGCTAAAGATAGGTCATTTAAGGCAATGATTAACAGCCCAGAAGATGTGGCTAGAATCACACTGTGGATACTAAGCTCAGAATGGATAGAATAGTTTCTACTTGCAGTGGAATTCGAGGTAGCAATGACGGATAAGTTAAATCGATCTGGAAGGGGAGAGGTCGGAATCCACACTGGCAGAACAGTGGAAAGTGCACTATCTGAAGGTAAACTAAACAAGTTTATAGCAATATAAACAGTCAGGATCAGAGGGTTTTCACCAAACTGGCTTTCTCCTTTGTAAATAATGAAGATTTTCACCTGCATGGACCCATAGGGTGCCCGATCGGGTTAAATGAATTCAAATTCCAAAAAAACTAGCTAGGGAGCTCGCGATCCCGTTTCTTTTTTTCTGCATCAGATCTTAGTTGCGTACGCAGCTATGACACATTACAAGAGAGAACATATATTGTAGATGATTCAAATATAAACATAAAGCACTCATGCCTCAGATTTCATTCGTGAGTACCGCTGCGAAGTTATGGCGGCTTTTCTGCATCCTAAGTTAGCCCTCATCTGTGAGTATCCATCCAAGGGAACGTCTCAAAAACTCCGAGTTATCCAGATATGCCTCCATTATCTATGGACTTATCTCCGCGCGAACTATGGTCTCAGGCGTCTCCGTCACAAGTGGAATAGGTACCTAGGCTACTCAAACTCTACCAGAGAATACCACCATGAGGCGGACCATAGCGTCTTTCATCGTTAGGATATATTTGTAGTGTCGCCTGCACTCTCGCCATCGAAGTCGTGGAGCACAATGCTCAATGCCACAAACTCATGCCCAAAAATCGAAATGTAACCCTGTCCAAGTTTTATCTATCATTTATATTATCCTGTCTACCTTTTCTGATCTCTCTCAAGTCCAATCCAAAGGACTGTCTCCCAGGTTCGTGCGCCACGATTTGATTCCTCTGGTGTGTGCAAATATTTGCGTGGAAAAATAATTGGTGGCCACTTAAGACCAGAAACTGATTTGACGAGAGTTGTCTTCATAGAAACAAGGATGTACTAAGTCGTTATTGAAGACGCAAGGAAAGTTTATTCGGAAACAATCTTTTAATGGAGTAGAAATTTGATTTGGTATGAAGTATCTTATCATTGCCTCTTGGGCCAGCTTTTTTATTGTGAAATTTGACTAAACCAGACTCGTGAAGGATATTTAAACTCCATATACGTAGTGGAAACTAACGCCAGGTGTTCAGTCTATTATTTCTGTTTGGTAAAAGTGTCCTAAGGGGGATGGGAAATAAGATGTAGATATTCTTCTTTTTGCCAGACTCATAGTATTTATGCCTTGTGAAAGTTTATTGTCCTGATTATAAATTTGTTGTGGAAGCTGCAATTGTCTAGTACCAAAAATTTGTCAGAAAAATCTAACCATTTCCCAGGACTTTCCACAATCTGCTGTCGAAGCATCCAGAAGGCAATATCTGTCGAGCCAGTAAGACTTTGAGCCAAAAACAATAGGAGGAATGCTGACATATTCTCCCATGCTTCAGATTGATGAGATCTCTTTCTATGTGAGTTTGAAATAATTAAACTGTTCTCTAACTTTTCATCAATTGCGAGACAGGTTGAGTGGCGTCTCTGATCGGATGATGTAAAGTCGAATCTAGGAGCTTTCGATGGCGTGTCACCTTCTTAGGTAAGAGATTTCAACTTCCAACATGGAATTTTGCTTCTTAAACATAACATGACTCTCATATTCCCTGTATCTTGACTAAATCTTCCTCTATGCCAAATCGTTAGGTAACTATAAACCTTTTTTCCACCGAATATTAGAAGGCAGTGCTTGTTGGGTTACTTACCACGTCGGTGAAATGTAGTAGATATGATAATTTGTTTCGTTACGAAAGTAAATGAATTTGATATCATGGAATCTGATCTAGCGTTAAAAAATTGAGACTTTAACCCCCCGTTCATCTCGAGACATTCAATGCGCCAGCTACTGAGTATTACTCAGGGAAAGCTTGGTGCCTAACTACATTTTCAATGAGAATACTTTCGCAGAGTATTTTTCAATCTTAATCAACAGCCCAAAAAAGGGTTGACGGCGGGATTTCATAATATTCTTATCGGGTGTCGTACCAAGTCATGCGAGCAGGTCTGATATGTCATACCAGCCCCGCCAACGCTAGTACCAATTCACTGATGATTGATTTCTGGCCGACTTCTCAGGAGAAAGTGGACCTTGTGAGATCAGACTGATCAACCCCATCAACAATCGAACCATCTGCATTTCAGCGTAACACTCTTTTGTACCTTTTAAAAACAACAAACAGGCTGAGCCTAGTCCTACGAAAATACGATAGTCCATTTGCCAAATTTCTATTATACACCTCTACAACATACCCTCGTTCCAATCTCATATTCGATCAGGAATATTTTGTGGACAAGTCCGCATAATCTCAAATCACAGAGTAATATGTCTTATAATCAAGGCCCACACAGCGGGCTACAACGCCCTTACAACGGGCCAGCAATACAGCGACAGATGCCGCGCCAAAACCACAACACACCACAATTGTCACAGCAAGAATCCCAATATCAGTATGATAATAATGGTTATAATTACGGAAATTATGCACCGGCCCAAGACTATACAACTGTCAATCAGGATCATCACAGCGGGGCAAGATCAAATGGTTATCCATCGTCAAACCAAAGATATAATCCTTCGCAACAAATCCAGGATTCTTTTACAGACTTAAGGAGTTTCCCATCTCAGCGGAGTCGAGATGCTAATCCACCTGTACAGCGACCAGCTACTGCAGATGGCATGAGGGGTGGGTACAGAGACCCTGCAGGGCAAGGTAGAACGTACTCTAATAATCGACCCATGGTAAGAGATGGGAATAATCCTTCTCTTATGAGAAGATCTGACACAGCAGACTCGGGTGAGTATGAATAAGAATCTCTTGAGCTTACCCGAGGCTAATATGCTAATAGGAAGGGCCCCAGTTGCTCGAAAACCCCTAGTTGCTCCTCTGAAATCGCCTGATCAACCTGCTTGGGACAATCCATTCCCTACATTTCCTGGAACCCAAAAAAAAACATCTCGTACTGAGGAGCGAGAGATTTTACGGAAAATGGAAACACTGGAAATAAATGATGCACAACCATCTGGCCCTAAGGATAAGCAAACAAAGTATCCGAATTCACGAGGTACTCCATCAAACCGATCTGAGTATCCTCCTGGAAGAAACCTTCAGCAAGGATCATCTGAAGATTATGGTCGAATGGGTCCTGAAAATCCGAATGCTACAAGAGAATATCCCCCCTCAGACTATGCTCAAGGATATTCAGGTCAGAGAAGAGATATGCAAAGACCAGGGTATGGCCCCTCTAATAACAGAAATGTTTATCCCGGCCCAGGTAACGATAACGGAAGATTTGGTAATCCACCTGATATTTATGGTAATGGAAATCCTACTCCCATTGTCCGGAGTATGACAACACCGATAAAAGCTCCCACGGCTGTCCGAAATGGCCCCCCTGGACCTTTAGCAGCTGGTTTTGGTGAGAGTTATCAAAATGGACCTCCTCGGGGCGTGCCTACGAGACCGTCAACCGCTTCTGGGACCAAACCACAACAAACCTACTTCAAACAGAATGTAGATTTTGGCTCTGGTCTAAACGTAGATGAGTCCTACCAAAATAGCCACCAGCGAAATGAGAGTGTCAGTGACCTATACGATAATTACTACCGCCCAGAAAATATAGTAGAGCCTCATTTATACGGCGTCGAAATGCCTGATTTTGATGCCAATCCTGCCAAACCTCACAGAAGAGGTGCGTCTTTCGATGAACATATCCAAGCACCCGCGCAAAATTACAGCAGCAAAAATGTAATGACGGCAATACAACCACAGACAGACGCACGCGGAATTATTTATCAAAATCAGTCTCAAGCTGGTGAATTTGTTCCAAATACTGAAAACTATAGATACGACAACTGGTATGAAAATGATCCATATAATCAAGGAATAAATCCTTCCATGAATACAGAATATAATGATTACAATGATTATAATGAACCACCGCCCAGTACATTTCATGCACCACCGCGGACAACATCTGCCGCTACATATACGGAGTCAAATGGCAATCAAAACTATGCTGAAAATGGATATAATGACCCAGCTAGTGTTCGTTATGCTAGTAGCACGCTTGAAAAAGTGTCTGATGATACTTTACCGCTACATCCACAACCTCTCCGAACAGGAACAATTTCGAACCCAGCCATACCACAAGCAAAAAATAAGCCTATGCCTATCCGAAACTACAATAACTCTACGCCTGTTCAACTACCTCGGAATCCGTCTCTAGACATAAATTCAGTAGCTAAAACGAACTCTCCATCCGAAACAGCCATGGAGCTTGAAAGCTTGCGAAATTTCGCCAAACTTAATCCAACTGATCAGACAGCTCAGCTTCAACTTGCCCGCTGTCTCGTTGATGCCTCCGAAGCCTCTGTCCAGGCCATACCAGATCAGCGTGCCCGAAACAAAGCTCGCGAAAAGTATATTATGGATGCTCACAAAATCCTAAAGAAGCTCGCTGCTCAACAGTACGTTGAAGCCATGTTCTTCCTCGCAGACTGTTATGGGAAAGGTACTTTTGGGGTAGAGGCAGACTACAAAGAAGCATTTTCGCTATACCAATCAGCTGCCAAGGCTGGTCACGCTGCTGCTGCCTACCGCACTGCAGTCTGCTGTGAACTCGGCAACGAGGAGGGTGGTGGTACACGAAAAGACCCGCTAAAAGCTATACAGTGGTATAAAAGGGCTGCTACACTTGGGGATACTCCTGCAATGTATAAAATGGGGATTGTTCTATTGAAGGGCCTTCTTGGTCAAACTCGTAATCCTAGGGAAGCTATCGGTTGGTTGAAGCGTGCTGCTGAACGCGCCGACCCTGAAAACCCTCACGCACTTCACGAACTAGCGTTACTTTATGAGCAACCCCAAGCGACTGAGACGTCAATTATACGCGACGAAGTTTATTCCTTCCAGCTCTTCCAACAAGCTGCTGATCTGGGATATAAATTCTCACAATTTCGATTAGGTTGTGCTTATGAATATGGTCTATTTAATTGTCCCATCGATCCAAGGCTAAGCATTCTATGGTACTCACGTGCTGCTGCTCAGGAAGAACATCAATCAGAACTGGCTCTAAGTGGATGGTACCTGACTGGGAGTGAGGGCGTGCTACAACAGAGTGATACAGAAGCTTACCTATGGGCAAGAAAGGCGGCCTTGGCAGGACTAGCAAAAGCAGAGTATGCAATGGGCTACTTTACTGAGGTTGGAATTGGCAGTCCAGGGAATTTAGAGGATGCAAAAAGATGGTATTGGAGGGCAGCAGGTAAAATCATTTTTAATTGCTTTCTGTAATCAGCTACTAATTATCCGATAACAGCCCAAAACTTCCCGAAGGCTCGCGAACGATTAGAGGATTTGAAAAAGGGCGGTAGTAAAGCGGCTCTCAGAACCCGTGAGAAGATCTCGCGCTCCAAGGTACGAAAACAAAGTGAAGAGAGTGTATAATCATTACGATTAGGCATTCCTTAAATTATTGTCTTAAGGTTTGTCTGAAGCGTCTTGAAAATTACTCTTGCATACCAAAATTTAAACCTATTGTTTAACTTTCCTCAGTAACACACGCTAATGTTTTTTACAGAAGAACACCAAAGATGGCTTGTATTAATCTAAATCTCCTCCGCGTCTTCGACTATCACAGCATGCCTCATGATTCACGCAAAATTTGAATAAATTTTTGGACAAACTATTGGGTAGAGTGAAGGGCCGGCCCCAATATATTTAGCGTTAGTGATGGATCATGTGACCTGAAAATAAAATTATAGGCTACGAAAAGCTGAAGCTTATTACAGATTTAATCACTTCATGTTGGTTTCATGGAATCTATGATGCTTACCTAGAATCTTGACGTCTTTTTCCTTATGATATGAATTAAAAGAGTCGCAGGCCAAAAGAAATGCCAAGTACTTGTAGATTTTACCAATATTTTCTAATAGTCGAGGAAGTCTGCATTCCACACAGTTTGCACTTTTTGTCTTATTTAATGCTATGTAAGACGTCAATTTTAAGAGGGGCTGAATGTGTTTTAATGTGTACCGCTGTTGATTCACTAAATTATATAGAAGACCAGGGTAAATTTATTTCAAGAATTAGGATAATTTAGATACAAAGACATTATAATATCTATATGTATCATAACTTTATGGTGTCAAATCTCTATTTTTCTGCCTCACCACTAGTACGCTTGGCTGCTAGATTTCATTATATGGTAGACGAACTCTGGCTAGTCAGTGTAAGTGTAAGCACGAGGTTTAATTTGGTGTCTGGTTCAAACATTTAAAGATATACCCAATGTTCTCCGTGTTTGTTGAGAGTGGGATTTTGAACGATATAATGACCTACAGCTGTATACTACAACACATTGTTACGGTTTGGCCGTTAGTTGAGCTTAGGCAGATACCTAAGCTTAATATTGAGAATTCTTTCGATAAAACTGCAAGGGGGTGATTAGATTAGATTTTTAATTATAGTCCCTACTAAATCTAAGACTAAGAAGGACTTCGTGAACCTAAATAAAGATTCTAATTACATTTGAAAAATTTTAAATTTGAAAAATGCCAAAATTTGAAAAATGCCAAAATTTGTTCTTAGATATTGCGGGCCAAGCCCTTGCATGGGGCTGACACAGCTGAACAAAACGGCACTACAAGGCAAGAGCCAGCAAAGATTAGTTCTTCACCTTCCAGTGGTGCCGGTGTAATCACTCAGTATGCTCTGCATATCTGGGATGGCCAAGAAGAATCGCATCCAAATCGAAGTCCAAAGCAACCTCAAACACTTCTCCATTTGACAACTTCTCGACAATGCCTCTCTCATCATTATCATCTGAGTCCTCAACCCATCTCTAACCACGCATCATCTCGCCTCAACCACCAATAAAGAAGTTGCTTCAATTGCATACAGGAGCTTGCCCCATTAATCTCCAGCCATCTCTCACTCCATATTTACGACGCTATTTATACCCGCAAGGAGGAAATCAAGTCGAAAAGTACAAAGCCTGGGTCTTGGCTTGTGGCGGACTATCGCTCTAATGGGACAAACAACTTGAGGGAGAACAGGCGCCTGATATGTAGAGCTAGATTGGGAATAGGTCTCTGAAGACCATGGTGGCACTGACATTTACGAGGAGTTTTCAACTTTGGATTTTTTGTCGGCGCCAAGAGCAAGATTTCGGCTAATTAGCCAGGAGGACTTCTATTGTCGATGAGTCTACGGCAGTCTTCCAGCTCAGCATAGCCTTTCAATAGGGCTAAGCTGCCACACAGTAATCAAGCACTGTCAAGACTTTTCTGACATTTCACCACGACCTCCGGGAAGGAGTGGGAAGGAGGCTAGAAAGGTAGAGAGCGAATTACCCGAAGTACACAAAAGTCTGCGCCGTCCAGCTGGCCTTCTTTTCGAACGCTTCACAAGGATCACTATGTCTTCGGATTTATTCCTAATGTCGGTATTAGGAGAGCTCCGCACCCAGTGGTATTTGCAATTTTTCCCGGCTGCCATACACTCGCAAATGGCCATCGCTTCGATGACTGGAGAGGGGAGATAATGAAGGGCTAAGGGCTCCTCTTTGCATATGATCGAATGAGGACTTGTGAGGGGTGGTACTATTTGAGGGGAGCTGTATGGGAGGCATAGGAGGGGATATACTACTGGTATAGGTATCCTTGGCCTGTAGGCAGAGAAGACCTGCATGTCCTACATAGTCATAGACTTAGACAGGACAATAAAACGAATTAATAACAATCCCAATGAACTATCACCCAGATTTGTGCGCCACGCTTTGCTTCCTACCATCTGATTTGCACAACAAAGAGCTACTTTAATTTCTAGCGTTCGAGTTCAGTGCCGGCGAGCAATGTATAATTATTAAACCGAGCCTTTAGGGTCAAGGGAGAGGGACTATTCTCAACACCTGTCAGTGGTGTCCCCTACGAACCTCCAGCTCTCACTGTAGAGTCTGCAGAGCCGAGATTGAGTACCAAAGTCATCACTTCGACAAGGATTCCCAATCGCTTCCGCGGTCTGTATCTTCATCCCTCAATACATTCACCTATCACCATTATCATGAAGCCAACCACGATCAGATCAGATGGTAGGATCGGGTCCTACTCATCACCAACCCTTGATCATGGAGAAGATGCCATCCAATGAGTTTCCGGGGCGTACCCAGCACCCGATACGGAGATGGCGGATTGGATCAAGCCAGCCTCGAATGTCACAAAGAAGGGAGATAAAGATAATTATGTGCACCTCATGTGGTCCCGGTGTCTAGGCCTCGCCTGGCTGGGGCTGAAGGTTTTTTGGTACTTTTTCCCGCACACGCAGTTTCCATTGCTACCATTTTTATTTTTTTGGGTAGAAGGTTCGGTGGAAAAGGTGGCTGAATTCCACGGGTAAATACTGAGCTGAATGGCTATGCATCACGGGCAATATATCAATGATCTTTCAAGTAATAAAAAGGGATAGGAGCACTGTACAAGGTGTGGCCTGAGCCAGAGAGGAGCCCCAAGTGCGAGATAGTCTATGAGTTGAGTAGTGCATAAACATTCCTCTCTCCCTGCTCTCCAGCCAGCGAAATGCTGGCTGCTTGTGCGTGCGTAGCTGCTGGTGGTGTAAAGGTAAGAGCTTACGGAGGTTAATCGGCAGAAGGTTTACGGATGATTATCGATGAATCAATATGAGCTGCTAATATTTTTGATATTCAGAACTATGAGGATGTAGAAGGTAGAAAGCGCTAATTATATACACATTTGAGGTAGCTAGACTCTCGCCTTATTTACCCAAAACAGTACCACGGAATATTCTAGTCTCCTCCATCTGGTAGTATAATCTAGAAACACTTTCTACACAGTGCTCCATTGTTCCTCTACTCATCATGGAGCCACCTGGAAAGTTCTTCCTTCACCCTCAGTGATCATTACCCTTGTTCATTGTAATCCTAGCCATCATCAGCACAACAGCAGGGAAAATTTCCGAACACCATTGATTACAGGGCTCCTCCCACAGCGATGTCAGGGAAAAATTCAAAGGTACACTTATCCTTCTAGAGCGCTTGATATTGCTGGCCAGCTGGGCACAGTAGACCTGTGTATATCTCAGAGCGTATCTCATGCTTCCTAGATACCCCCAGAAATACGCTAGGGTTCGGGGCTCTGGGAGGCAGCAAGTACTCTATAGTATTCTTGACTACGACGTGTGGAGGGCAAGACTGAACACCTGTACGCAGTGTCCTCTACGAACCTGGGAGTGGAATATTCTCCCAGACCCAAGTTCAGTCAAATTTCGCCATATCGAACAAGTTGGCCCACGAGGCCATGATTCAAATTACTCTACCACGTCAAATTTTCACTCCCAAAGAGTCCGAATCCTATCCAAGCCTCATCAAGTTTACAAGTACGACTAAGTACATCCTCATCCCAATGGCCATACTGTTGTAATGGAAGTTGTATAGAGAAGCGTAAGCTGTTAGGCTTGTATTTAATATCACCTAGTCAAGCGAGTTGGGAGATTGAAGAGTCTGAAAACTACAGTGCAAAGTTGTTGATTAAACCCACTTAGTATCAGAGCGCTATTTAAACTAATTACTACATCTAAGTGAAGGACACGATTCACTTGTTTATGCTAAATAATTGGGAGGCTGGTCAATGTATGAGTTGTCATGAATGTGGCTAGTAATAATAGAACCTTATTACGTTCCGTATTAATGCGCCTCAAAAACATCATTTTTGCCAGAAAGCTGCGCAGCCTTCCACGCTGCCCGTATCATCAATTTGACATCGTGATTCTTATTTTTACATCTTTATTACCCTCCTCCCATCTTTTCGCTTTCCGTACTCCAACATGGCGAGCGTGGGCGCTGGTGTGGGTAAATCCAGCGGTTTCGACGCGTCGCAAAATGCGACAATGGCCTCAACAAACAACGGCAGCGGAGCGCAAACAGCTCCAAAGGATAAGAACCTTGAAATTTTAGGGAAACTATTGAAAAAGGTTAGACTAATCGTGATGGGAGAGGGGGATGAGGAGGACCTACCCTCAATGGAGGACGTGAACGAGGCCGTCAAGGCCTTCAACGCGCACAAAAGGGCCTGGACGGAAATGTCCCAGAAGAAGTCTCCTATCGAGGAGAGGATGATGGCGCTCGAGGAGGTTGTCAAAAAGAGCCTCGCGGATCCTGCTCGAAAAGCTGCACCAGCAGTGGTTTCGGGCGCGCCGACACAAAGGAGCTACGCGTCGGTCGTGGCTCCGCAAATGACGAAAACAGCGGTTAGGATAAGAATCGATGGCGCACAAAACCTGCAGCCACAAGAGCTGCTGTCAAAGGCACAACAACATATCGAAGGCGCATTTGCAATTCGACAGATGCGAAGCAACGACACCGAGGTGTTTGTCCAGTCGGCGTCCCAGAGAGACGCGGCGCTTAATATGCGGCAACCAACGGACTTTGAAATTTTGCGGCAAGACTTTCCTGTCGAGGTTTCCGGAGTCCCACTGCGGACAAGAATTGAGGGTGGCAGAGATGCAAACAACTTTGCCATCATCAGGGAGATAGAGACGGCTACAAAGGCACGGATTCCAGGCTTAGTGATAAGTCGCATAAGGTGGTTACAC